CATGCCCTTGACCAGAATTAAACCTGGGATCCTTGAGTCCGCAGGCTGACGCTCTATCCACTGAGCCAAACCAGTTAGGGCAGGAACTGTATTTAAAGGGCCAGAAGGTTGAGAACCACTGCTCTAGAGGAAGCACTAGTAGTAAAATAGTCATGTTTTACATAAACTTTTCATCTCTCTATTCCTTTTTCATTTTGACAAGGATAGCCAACATTTCTCATGTACCACATTGATGTTTCACTATTATATTGGCATGTAATAGATCTTAAACTCTGGAGACAAAGAGGCCACATTTCCATATTCACGAGCAGAGAAACTGTACTAATCCAGAGGCAGTTGTATAGGTTAGAACAGCAGTTCTCAAAGTACAGTCCAGGTCTGGTCCGCAAGGTCAAACTTGTTCTTATAATAATACTAGAAGCCCAGCATGCGAAATCGCACGGCTCCGCCCACCCGCGCTGGTCTTTGGTCATTACGGCATTAGGGCCACTGGGTTTTTATAATATAAATTATGATGTCGCTTGCCTTTTCCACTCTTATTCTCCTACCGGTGTAAGATAGAGTTTTTTCAGAGGCTGTGTGACACAGGATGAGGTCATCACTCTGTTGGCTAATAAAATGAGCTTGTGTATCCTTGTGTTTTAAAAATTTCTCAGCTTTAACTTCTAATATAGTAAACATCAGAAGATATAACTCACATAAACATAAGCTCTTTGGAGTTTTAAATAATTTTAAGAGGATCAAGGGATACTGAGGGTTAGAATAAAAAGTTTAACTTCTCAATAGCGGTTAAAACACACTTTATTTTTCTTTACTTCAAATACATAACATTCAAAATGTTACCATTCATTTGATTATGTACCAAGCTTGGAAAATGGTGTTTTCTGGTATCCCTTTCAGAAGAACATGTATATTTTGAGGAGATATTTCCAAACAATCTTATTTGGAATAACACTTGAGAATCAGAAGAATCTAAGTATGGTTAAACTGTAACAGCCTAGAAAAGGAACAGAATTTCTTGTTAATCTACTGAGAGTGGAAAAAGAGAGGTAGTCCCAGATTCAGGATAAAGAGCATCATCCTATATAGTAAAAGGCTAATATGCAAATTGACCAAACAGTGGAATGACTGGTCACTATGACACGCATTGACAACCAGGGGGCAGATGCTCAATGCAGGTGCTGCCCCTGGTGATCAGTGCGTTCCCACAGCGGGAGTGCCGCTCAGCCAGAAGCCAGGCTCATGGCTGGTGAGTGCAACAGCAATGGTGGGAGCCTCTCCCGCCTCAGCAGCAGCGCTAAGGATGTCCAACTGGCAGCTTAGGCCCGCTCCCCACAGACATCAGTCAGACATCCCCCAAGGGCTCCCGGACTGTGAGAGAGTGCAGGCCAGGCTGAGGGACCCCCTGAAATGCACGAATTTCGTGCACTGGCCCCTAGTATATTATATAGTGTGACCCCTCTTAAATCGTTGGTACCAAGTTAATGAATTCATAAATTCTTGAGGAGAGTTGATATTCGGGTAATTGGTCATGGGTCGAGCTTTAGGTCTATATCAACATAGGCACAGGCAGTGGGGAAATGTTTGTGTGGGAGAGAAAAGGAGGCAAGCATGTGTAAACAACCCATCAGAGAATCAGAAAAACTGGATTAGGGAAACAGGCTCTTGACTTTAGAGCCAAAAAAGTGGGCATTCAAGGCAAACTTACCTAATTTTCTGAGGGACAGAGAGTCCCTGGCTGAGCATTATCCTAAAATATTTCTGTAATACGTATAGAACCACACACACACACACACACACAATATCTACTCATAAGACACACCCTACTAGGCCACATAAGATTCATGTAACCTCACTAGTGGCTTTAAGTCTAGCAGGAGAACAAGATATGTTACAAGACACCACAAGGAAATGTAAGTACCCAAACAGATTTATCAACAAAATGCTGTGGGAAGGTTCATACCAGGTTTAATATATACTTATTGTTTATAATTTGTATGTTTGTTGGTGTTAGAATCTTTTGGGAATAATAAGTAGACAGGATACAGAAGGAGTCATTGAGAGAGGAGACAGCACTAAATAAATTGTGTTGCTGGTCCTACTTATTTCTACCCTATAGCCAGAATTGTGGTGTCACTCTCTGGTGATTCTTACTTTGGTTGAATGGCTTTGTTAGAGCTGCTTGCTGAAGCGAGCGAGCGCGCACACACGCACACACACAAAATTTGCTTCAACAAAAGGAAAGATTATGGGAACACTGAGAACCTAGGAAGAAACACAGTATAGAGTAGCTGAACTTCCCACAGACTAGGACAAGCAAATGCTAAAACATCAAGAACCAATTCTGCTACATTTCTTCCACCTTCCTGGGAGAAATAGTCTCTCACCTCTGCTTCTCTTTGCACATTAGCAGAGCCTTTTATCTTTTCTTTTCCTTCTGCCATGACAATGGCAATATCCCAGATAGAGACTGCTCTGTTAGCCCAGGTACAGTGAAGAAGACATGGAGCAGAGCTGTGGGCATTTTGCACGAAGAGATAAGCAAACCTTATTGTAGGCCACCGAGATTTTTGGAATCATTTGTTACTCATCACAACCTATCCTATCCTAACTGATACACATGGCTTATAAGTTCTTGCTTATTGCTCCATCTCTTTGCTATAGCCCCACTAGCCTTTTAGTACTTACACAATGCTCCCTCCCATTTTAGATCATTTATGTTATTCTGTCTCCTTGGAAAGTCTTTAACACATATTTTTGCCTAATTAACATTTACTCCCCAGTGAGACCTCAACTTACCTGTGAAGTACTCAGGCAAGGATTGCCTCACCTATATTCAAAGCCCCCCGAATTCACCTTCTCTGTCATTATGTCTCCTTAGCTAAACTAAAAATTCCATGAAGACAGATATCAGGTCTGCCTTGATCAGCACTATATTCCCAGTGACAGGAAGGAAGAACTTTTTTCTTTTCCAAAGAGTATATTTTTCTGCATCTTTGTACATATGGCAGAAAATGGCCATTCTAGCCCTAGAACCATAACACCACACACTGCAGGGCCACCAGTTAATCAACATTCCAATGTTCTGTTTCCAGATTCTTGGAAACAGAATTTTGTTGGCTTGGAGATGTTCTATCACAGTCCACCCTAAGGTTACTGAAATTTCTAGGTCAATCAGAATCAACATGGCTACAGAGACCTGTTCTCTGGTAATAGGGGCAATTCTCAGAGAAGGGGATGTGGGCTGAGAAGACATCGCAGAAAATATTTGCTACAGTCACTACAACTAGTTTACTCTTCTGTGTTCTTGACTTTTTTTTTTTTTTTAACTATCTTCTTCTCAAAATTATCCTCATACAGCACACAAAGGAACAATCCCTACAAGGGATTTCTTAAATAAGAGTGATCAAGTCGTTCTGATTCTGTCTCCCTGATTCTGCCTCTCCTTTGGTAATCTGTGACTTTGGTTACCACTGCTACTTCACTACTATCTCTTAGGAGTATGGGGTTATTCTTTTTTTTTTCTTTTTTTAACATTAACATCAAAATAACAACACCAAAATTTACCTTCCTTCTATTCTCTAAAAATGCTTTTGGGATAAGCTAAAATTGGAAAAAACAAAAACAACCCACTTTACTAATATTAAGAAAAAAAAGGGGAAATAAAAAATGCAAGGCAATAAAAAGTTTGGTTCACAAAGTAAAGTTTTTTGACCCTTTTCCTGTATTATCTAAATATCTGAAAGTCTGTTTCTCACCAATACCACAGAAAACAAAACAAAAATAATGAAATTCAATGCTACTAGGATTTTTCCTGTAAGATTTTTCATTTTAAAAAGAAAAATACAAGGTAACACTTTCTATCAAATTTTTGTTAACTGAAACTATTTCTATATGTTTGGTAATTCCTAATTTTTATTTATTTTTATTTTTATTTTTTAATTAAATATTTATTGTTCAGATTACATTTGTTCCTCTTTTTTTCCCCCCCTAACTCCCCTCCTCTCAGTTCCCGCCCCA